ACAATAGCTCAGCATTGCCAAAGACAGAGGAAAGAAATGTATGTCCTAAAAGAGAGGACTGCTTGAAACTGAAATGGTATACAAGAGGAAATGCTTTTATGTAGAAATTTTTGAGAGTAGTATTCTCCCTGTTCAGAGCTTGAAGATGATTGACTAGTATTTCCCTTCCCACTCTTCAACATCCTAGAGAAAAAAAACACATTGAGGGAAGACATGAGCAGACTAACTTCAGTCCTCAAGGAATTACAGTCTGGTGCACAAGATGTCAATATGACATCATTGTTCTACTACCTAAGATCCTTCCATAGCTCCCCACTACCTAGAGAGTAAAGTCCAAGGATGGAACCTAGAAGAAAGCCCTCTATTCCCTGACCCCAATCTAACTCTGCAGCCATAACTCCAAAATTCCTATCCTTATATTCTGTGCTCTGAAAATCAGCAAACTGATTGTAAGTTCCTCACCAGATACTGTGAGTGACCTATTTGCTTTCTTTACTCTTGGTGTCTCATCACCCCATCCCAACTGTTCCCTGCTTCCATCCATTCATCTTCAAGACTCACCTTGTATTATCTCCTCTATGGAGTCTTCTCTGAACCCCAGGATATGTTAAATCTTTCTCCTCAGCTGCTTCATTGAAACTAGGAATGCCTCAATTTGTGAGTTAATTACCTTTTATGAACATTATATGTGTTCTCCACAAAGCATGAGATCTTCTAAAGCAGGAACTCTATCTGATTGGTTTCTGTATTTTAACACAGTCTTTGACATTGCTGTATGTCTTTAATATTTATCTCTGTCTATGGATTGAATGTTTTTGTCTCCCCCAGGTTCATATGTTGAAATCCTAACCCCAATGTGATGGTATTTGGAGGTGGGAACTTTGGGAAGCAACTAGGTCATGAAGGCAAAACCCTCATGGTAAGATTAGTACCTTTACACAAGGGACCCTCACCAAGTGAGGATGCAATGAGATGATAGTAGTGTGCAGACAGGAAGAGATCCTCACCAGAACTTGATGATGCCAGCCCCCTGACCTCAGACTTCCAGTCTCTAGAATGATCAGAAGTACATTTCTGTCTTTTATAAGCCAACCAATCTAAGCACAAACTAAGATGTTGTTGACCTAAACTGCACCAGATCTTAGAGCTCCAAGAGGATAACTCATTCACTCATTTATTTATCCCAGACTGACTCATTAAGGACTTTTTTTTTCATACCAGATACTGTTCTAGGTGCTGGGAAAACACTGAATAGATAGGCCTTGTCTTCATGAAGCATACATTTTAACAAAGGAAAACTGACAGTGCCAAGTAAAAGACAAGAAACAGGGTACAACTGACAATGGGCAGGATGGGTTTTCCCTGTTTCTGCAAATATGAGAGAATTTTAATAGGGAAAACCTCAGGATACAGTTTTCCCTGATGGTGACTTGCTAATATGGTAAATATGGAAGTATGCATGAGCTAATTCAGATTCACTTGTAGTTATGTTCATAACTATTTTATAAGATATACTGTATTATCCTTAACAATTGTTATAGCTAGTCACCATTGTATAATGCTGTACGACTTATGCATGTCATTTCATTTGTTTGTAAGAAAAATGCAACTGAGGTCTTATGATCTTCACATTATATATCAGCAAATTGAGACTCATAAAAGAATAATGGTTTAGTGGTATAGGCCATATAGCATGCTAAAGCTATTATTTCTAACTGGGTTTTCTGGTTTTAAGCTCAGTTTTCTTTTCAATGACTCGGCAAAGCCCTTTCTGTCCTGTGATTCCTTGAAAAGCTTCCAAACCATTCCACTTAGCCTAGCTAAGGTCCTTTATATGTTATTTCCCTCATATAAGATAGTTGGGGAGTTACTGAAAGATTCAGTGATCACCATGTGAAGATATTCTTAAGTTATCCCAAGTTATCAAGTAGGGAACAGTGCCTAAGAGCATTTATCCAAGAAAAATATTTATTAATTTAAGTCCATGTTATTTCACTCAGAAATGTTTATTGAGAGCTCACAAGATCCCAAGGACTATTTTAGGGGCTGGAGAACCAATAAGAGCAAAAACAAGAAAACAGAAAGAGAAAAGCAAGATGCTGACTTTGTGATATTTATGTGGACATGCATCTTGTATTGGTAACAATGGGGTATAGAGAACACAGCAGTTTAATGACAACTTGGACACTCTGCCATGACTTTTACAGAGATTTCACATTCAGAGATATGTACACAAGTAAGATCCACAGTCACTTTAACTCAAGAGCAGAACAAGAATTTACCTTTTAGGAGTAAAGTAACTATAGTTTCAAAGATACAACTTCTTTGTGCTATAATTGAAGAAATACCTATGAATCTGGAATGAAGATCCCATCATCCCCTCACCATGTCCCCAATTTGATGAAAATGACACTTAATAGCACCCCGTTTAGCTTAAGACAACTTAGAGCCACAAATGGAAAGAAATGACAGGAAAAGCTAGAAAGAGAGGTAGGGAAGACAGCCTTATACAAAAACTAGAGAAACTATGCTGAGGTTAAACATTCAAAGTGGGCTTTACCACAGAACTAAATCCCAACATACTAGGAAGCTCTTCCTGTTGACTAATTTGTTAAAGACAAATACTAAGAGCAAGAGTTTCTCGTCTTGCTCACAGAAAAGAGAAATGTAATGATAAATTGGGGAAAACATGCAAGGCCACATTAGACTCAAAGTTATGTGTTCAAGCACTCAAGCAAATGAGAAGGTCTCCCAGGGATGGAGGTAGGACTTAAAGTCATCATTTTGCCTGCCACTACCCTCAATGCTTTGGATATTCCTTCTTCTATCTTGGTCTGGATTTAAATATGGATTTGTACTGCTTGCTGATATGGGAATTTTTAACACTATTACACTTACTTCTAACATTGACACTGTTTTTCAGAACTGCCTCTAACTTGTAAGTGAAACTCCTGACAAACTTTTGAAGCTTTCAGCACCTTACCTGCACAACATAAGTGTATATATGACTGTGTGTATGTGTGCTATTTATTTTAGGTTCTACATGAATAAAGTTATCAGAGGCATCATTGTATTTTTTCTGAGGCTTGTTTCAAAATGTTCAGAAGCATCCTTTCTAATTAATAGATAACATGTTTTTGATCGGGAAAGTGCTCCTTTGTCTCAAAATACATAATTGAGAGATGGCTTGATATAGTTGTGTGAAGAGGAAAAAATCTACCCCTAAATGCCACCTCTAATTCCCTACAGGAAATTCCATGCTCAGGGTTGTTGTGCTATAGAAATGGAGGAACTTTTCATAGGAACCAATCCCAAGTCACATCCTTGGTAACAGGAATGTTGCAGTCTTTTTCTGAAGAGAATGCAATTCCCATTTAGTATCATTAACAGTCCTTAAGAGCCTTTCAAGGTTCATTAGACATTGAGTAGGTTTATACCTTCCTTCTGTCCAATCAGGAGTAAATGCCAGGGAAAAAATGCTCTGTGCCTACCATGATTCCTTCAAAATTGACAGTGGGATCCCTGAAACCAGCAGAAGCAAAAAAATGGATTCTCCACTTAATCTTTCCTTCAGACTGAGAACAATACAAAGCTATAATTGGATTTTCCTCTCCTTTGTCATGTCTCTCCTTTCCACCACTTCCTCTCAATGCACACATGGTTTATTGCAACAAGGCTCATCTCAATGTCACTTCCTCTCTAAAATTGACTCCCACCTAAAATGCATCTGTTTCCTCCACTCAGTCAGAGCATTTGGTCTATGGCACTGAATACATGGTATCTTACACTGTAATTATTCACTTGTAGACCTCATCTCCTTTCCTAGATTATGAAGTCTTTGAGTATGAAGACTATGGCTTATAAAGAGACACCAAGTTTAGTTTCAGCACATTAAAAGTTATCCAATGATTATTTGATAAATTGAGCCATTCCATAAATCCTTACTGAGCAACTACTATGTGCCAGGCATAAGAGGCACAATTCCCATCTTGACGTGACTCACAGTCCATTGGCATGAGTGAATGCACGTGCAATGTCATCTGCTATGTATCTGCTGTTCAACCAATTTCAAATAACCATAAGAAATATAAAACATATGCCCAAAGAGGAGACTCACAAAATGTCACAAGGGATTTTTAGCTGCAAGAAGGAACACTGTTAGATTCTCAAGGAGTTTCCTAGGGAAATGGTATAGATATCTCAGGCAATCAAGCTTAGCTTAGATTAAACAGAATGTGCAGTGTACTACTCTGATGACAATGTTCTGAAAGAACTCTACCAAATCAAGTCTGATTCTTTTTGCCTCAACAATTGACCTTCAAGATTGAACTTACACTTGACTGAAGCACCTTTGCTCTCAGACAGAGGTCTCAACACATCAGCTACAATGGTAATAAATGAGCAATGGCAAAGCTTCACTGCTTTCCTCACAGTTACAGCTACAGGCTTTCAGGGAAGAAAAAGAATGAAAGGAAAGTCAGTCTTTGAAGCCTTAATGTTACATTCTGAGACTTTTCCTTCATTTCAAATAATGAGACTTTTGGAGATACCACTCTTGGTAAAGGTAAATAATACATATGCTATATTTTAGACAAGGCACACACACACAAATTGAACCACTTTTAGATAAAGCTTCCATACTTGCAAAGTAAAAAACACAAAATCAAACTGCACATGTGTCTACTTCCTTGTGATTTCAAAGGCCTTTCATCTGCATTATTGCATTTAATTTATAAAGCATAGATAGTGTGAGATAAGAGCCTTCATTTGTTAGATAAGGAAACAGATCCATAGGGTATTTAAGTGGCAAATCCAAGATCACCCTACCAGCTGAAACTGAGACCAAAAGGTAGGACATCATTTCCAAGTCCAAAGTCTTTCCTGCTATAACTTCTCATATCATAGACTAGGTTAGAGGTCAGATGCAATAATCAATCTAGAAATTACCTTTGCTGTTAAACAAACATATGGTGAATTCAGTGGAGTTATGTGAACTTTACCTCTTTAAGGCAGCCCATGAAGTTGTTGCTCACAGGTGACCCTGGCAAGTCAGCAGTACTTGGGCTTCCTCCCACATAGAAGAAATCATCGGAGCCCAGCATGGTGTAATCCTCCTGAGTGTAGCCCGTCGTGGTAAGAATGCCATCCACAGAGATTGTCACCTGGTAGTGGGACATAGGGACAAAAAAATTCCCAGCAATGACCTTACAGTCCTATCAAAACCCAATGGCTTCCCCTACTTGTAGCATCACTTTCATTAAGATTTTCATGATATATTCTTTCCAATTTGGCTTGATTTTGGTATGTGCAGCCAAGTTCCATTTTCTGGTCTGCCTCCCTGTGTCCCAAGCCTACAGTCTTCCCCTGAAGACTTATGGGAAACTTTGTTAGAATTGCCAAGCTGAGCACCTTGTTCTACAGATTGCACACTTTACTCAGTCAGGCTAGAAAATGGAACTATCCTCAGACGATATCAGTTGTCTCAGCTCATTGCTAAAATGATGTTTATTACATATATGATTGTTATTTATGGTAGTAATGAGAAACAGCAAAGAAGACATTGACAATGAGATTTGTTAGGGGTTGGACTTTGGTTGTTGATGTTTTGTTTTTCCTTTTTTCTTTTCTTTTTTCATTTGTTTCTTTTTTGGCTCATACCACACTGACAGACATGCATTCAGGGAGGGATGGAGGAGGGCCTATGTTTTGATGCGTTGAGGATGAAACATGCTATGGACTACCCCAGGGTGCCAACCCCTGCCCTCCCTTGGCCACAATCACCACCAACAGAAGAAATGGCCCAAACCCAAAAGGCAAGTCTAAGTAAAAGAAGTGATGATGCATGACAACCAAAATAATAATAATGCCCATGGGGAAAATAGCACCCATACACCCAACATTCATGAAAGGAGCAGAGGGCAGAGAGAGAAGATGGGGCCTCAAAGCACACAGCATATGCTGACACACCCATGCGAACACTATTTGGAGCCAAGAGAGAAGGCAGAAGAAAAAGAGTAGGGATGTGCAAAAGGGTGACGAGGAAGAAAAGAATCAAAATCAACTTCACACTTACATGCGTTGAACAAACTGAAGAACAAGATGGAAGTGAGGGGAAAAATCACTCAAAACTAAAGGGTAATCCTTCCCCTGCCTGCCACCTCCCTCACTAAAGAAATAAAAAGAAAAGAAAAAAAAGAAAAGAAAAAGTCCAAACCCAACCCCAAAATATATGAAGGATGAGAGGAAAATGAGGATTAGGGGGTGGGGAAGAAAAGAAAGTGGAACTAGGTTGATGGTTGGTAGATTGTTAGTAATGAGGAGGAAAATGAGGGAACAAGTTCTGATGTCAATGGGGATTCCACGAGACAGGACCATGCCATGCAGAGTTTGTATGGAGAACACAATTGGCAGAGCTCCCTTTGGCCATGGTGGTAGGGGAGTAAGGTAAAGAAGGAGAAGGCAGAGTATAGGACATGGAGTACTTTCCTCCCCGGTCACCTGCGGCAGCTGGGGCCACACAGAAGGGAAAGAGAAAAACGGGATTAAGGAGTAGGGAGGAGAAAAAAGAAAGGAGGCAGAGAGAGGGAAAGGAAGACACTGAAAGAAGAAAGTCCTCACTAGAAATCTCTGTTGTCCCTAGTCTGAAACTTGGAAGTTGCAAAATAAGAAAAAAGAAATTAGCTAACTGGAGAAACTCTCTTAAAAATACTTTTAGGGAAAAAAATTAAAAAACAAGAGAAAAAGACACTGTCCCCACCAAACTCGATCAAATGTCCAGGACAGGTGCATCCCTTTCCGTTACTTTTTAAAGAAAAAGAAAAACTTACATTTAATTTAACAAAAAAATATTGAAAAACGAAGAAGAAACAAGAGGATAAAAGAGGGGGTTAGAGGAGGAAAAGAGGGGCAACACACGGCAAACCCAAAAAAAGAGACAATAAGAATGATATCTACCAGACAATGTAGTTTGTTTACCATAGCGTGTCCGATGCCTGAGTGCTTTGCGGAGAAGGGGGAAGAAAGGAAATTAAAAATTGTGAACAGAACGATTGTTAATTAAAAAAACTAAAAACAAAGATGAGTCGTTAGGGTGTTAGTACATTAATCTGTTAGTAAAATGACACATTGCATGAATGATCTTGTGTTAGTTTTTCAAAAAAAAGGCACCCAACACAGAAAGAGAGAGTGGGGGAAGACAATGAGACCAGGACTCTATGGAAAACTTTGCCACAGGGGCATGGCCAGGAAAGGAGCGTAGGTCCACGGGTCATTGTAGCTGCCTGCTCCTTCCAGGTACTTTTCAGACCATACCTCACCCCGTCAGCATTAGCCCTCATACTTACTTCCCAGGGACTTTGCTGAATGAATACTGTCCAGGTTCCTTTCCCACCCTCTAATATAAACACATTCCCCTGTTCTGAAAGAAAAGACATCCCACCCATCAAATACCAGTATGTAGGTTTTTGGTTTTTGTTATTTTTCATATTTGAATCTGACTACTTGGATGGACCATCATGACATTCATCTAGAAAGAGTTTAAACATTTGCAGATCAAACCTAGCATAGGAAGGCTACATTATGCAGAACACTCTAAATTTCCATAGGTAATGTAAAGATCCGTGACTTCCTTGACTTTTGTGGATTTGTGCAGCAAGAGGGGAACATGCTCCCCTTTACTTACAGTTTAGAGTATCTCTGCTATTAGGATACATCAAAAAAGTTAAGTCTTCTTTATTACCCAGTGAGGTTATTCTGTTGTTTACTTAGCCAGAATGCAGGGAAATCTTCTCCCCAACCCTCACTCTCCTGGAATAATGCTTTTAAAGCTTTTAAGCAAGTCCTTGTATATAGCAGGGAGAAGGACAGATTAAATAGAATTAGAGAAACACTCTCTATAATTAGTCTCTTCCATGTTGCTGACTTTGAATGCTGAATTGCCAACATACCCTACGCTGGGAGGTTGGAAGTCTAGAAGACCTGAAACCTTGGTTTTGTGTTAGTGGTTTAACAAAAGTGGTACCCAGAAGTAAAGCAATTCATGTGATGGACTTGACTTGACCTTAATCTCAGGCAAGGTAAAGGGCAAACCTTCCGGCTATGTGCCTGCATGTACATACACACACACACACCCCTTGCTACCTTAGTCTCTAATACCAGCTATAATTTGGAACAAATACCATTTCTATGTCTTCTTTCAATCTGAAGCCCCAGTAAAGTACCTGGGTTTGGCTTTGAGTTGGCCTAAAGACAGAACCACAAATTGATGACCATGAAGGAAGAAATGAGAAGAGCTCTGCTCCAATTGGTAATGAGTACTACAAGAAACTCCAGGTAAATTTTCCTCAGATGAATTTTTGCTACAGTAGACATTGGATCTTACCCAAAAAAAAGTAGATAGTGCTGCCATAAGCTTGTTTTCAAATAGTTATAAAGCTATTTACAGTTTATTGAAATAAAAAGGAATTTCCCTCTCCTTCAAATGTATTTTAGGGAAATCAAAAAGTTGTTATAAATATTTTAACAGACAAAATAATAATTTTAAGATTATTCATCATTGAAAAGATTACACTTGCAAAATCAACTCTGCTTTTCAGAGATATACCTCTCTTTCAATAAATTGCATTAGGAAGCAATATTCAGTCAGGATTTCAATGAGGTCCAATTTTAAGGGTACTTTTTTTATGTGAAATTAATACTTTCTCTGTCGAGAAATACCCACCAACACTCTAGAATTTCTGAGGCCTTGTCTAGGACAGAAAGCTCTACTGAGCTCATGTTGGCACCAGACAGAAGCAGTCACCTCTGGGACAGAATGTTCTGCCTGTAAATCATTTGCACATCACAGTGAGTCTAGCACCCAGGCCATCGACAAGCTCATAATCCTTCTGGAACAGAAGGTGCTTTGCATACTTGGCCAACACACATGGCTGGGAGCATTGTAATAAGCATTTCACAAATGGAAACTGTGATGGAGTAAGGTTAAGTGGCTTGTCCAAGGGCACAGAGAGGAGTTGGGCCTTGAACTTGAAACAGAACAGAAATCTTTCAGGGTGGTTTTCCACCAATTGCTCTGACCAAAACTTTACAATCCACATTTGAATTACTGTTTGATTTATCCTCTCTAGTTTAAAAGACTTAATTGGGGTCTGATATTAATTTAGACAGTGTTTTTAATAGAGACAAAAGTGAGTCTCTCTCAGGCAAATTGGAATCATTCTAGAATGGGTCAGAAGTCTGTGGTGGGGAGAGTTAGAGAAAGAAACTGGTGAGAGCTTTGACCTGACACTTATCCCAGTACATCAAAATCTCCCAGCGACTAATGGCTAATGGGTGTTATTTTGTACTTGCCAATCAAAACTGGCAAAAGGTCACATATAACCTTTTGGTCTAGTCCCTGCAGCTCAAACATTTTAAGTCCTTCTATATCAGCAATGGAAATTTGACTTTAACTGTCTTGACAATTGCATATTCTCTCTGGGTAACTATGGACAGGGATAATGGAGAAAAACCAAACAGAACAAAACAAAACAAAAAACATCAGCTTTAGGGATCCTTGGCCTTGGAGGAAAAACAGAACAATGACTCAAACAAGTCAAATTCATATGTGTTAAGAATATGTGTTGGGGATGCTAAGTCTTATATAACTTAACAACTTCACTGGAGATAGAAATGGAATCTCCCAAACACGTGGCTTCTTTGACATACTTAAGTGTGGAAATGAGTGTTTTGACTGCAGTGTGTGTCCAATGTGTGCCAGCCTACACCATTTGTTTGGCATTACTTAGGAGTCACACTTTTATCAAGCAAAAAACATATGCAAACACCTGTCATGTCTTATGCTTTCATGTTTACATGAGAAGGCATTAAATCAATCATATTGTGGGGAAATTTTGATAAGCACTTTCTGGAAATTTGCATAATATTTTCTGATTAATAAAGGATGAACACTGTCCAGCTTGTTTGGATGACAAATTTGCAAGTAGGAAAACCAAGTGAAAATAGGAACATGACAGAAGCAATCTCAGCACAGACCTTGACTTGTATAGAAAATGGCTTTTCTTTTGTTGATGTGTGCTGATAAGGTGTCATTATGAGTTATATTGAAAACAACTTTGCTTGGCTCAGGCTTTCTGGAACCATTGTCACCTGACGGAGTTGCTTGCTTACAATCAGCAAGCGATGGGAGTTCTCAAGCACGCACAGAATCAGGAAAGCTGCTCCAAAGTTGACATTTTTATTTGGGTCCTTCCACTTTCCAGGCCTCCCAGTCAACTGAAGAGTCTCGGAGGTAGAGACAAGGGCAATAAGGTAGGACCACCGCATCAGGGAACAGAGAACAGAGAAAGATCCTGGCTAATTCCAAGGCAAGAGGTTAGCATAATAACAGGGGAATTTTAAAAAATGCTGGGGAGGGATGGTAAATTAAAAGTCGAAAAAGGAAGATTTTTCTGGAAGGAATTAAAATTATGACATCATGGCAGTGGGTAACTTAATTAAAAAAGAAAAAAATGTTTTCAAAGAATGAGGAAAATCCATCAAGCTCCAGAAACAAAATGCTATCCCTAATTGAATTTAACATACTATGATAAGATTCAAATGTAATTAAGAAAATGATAAAAGGAAAATAGAATAAAAAGGATGAAGTAGTTATCACTTTTATTATCTATACAACTGATTTTTTTCCCTAAATAACAAGCACAAATGGAGAACTGTAGTATGAAGAGAAACATATTTTAATCATTTTCTTTGTGAAATTGCAAAGAGTGGGAGAAAGTTAGACTTTGACATATCCAAAACCATCACCCTACCCCTCTTTGCCTCACCGGTTGCCTGCTTCACAAACTTTCTACCTAAGACGAGCCTTCCAGGCTCTCTCTCCCCTCAGCCATTACCTGCCGGAGATTGCGTGTCACTTTGACATCATGCCAGGCGTTGTCATTGAATTTTCCATTCACTGGCTCCACAATGGCCTCAAAGGCTCCGGACCCCAGGTTAATGACCAAGGAGACCGCGCCATCCTTCAGAGCCAGGTTGACATAGTCGGCCGACTTGCCCGTGTGCAGGATGAGCCCATTGCGCTGCCAAGTCTTAAAGGAGAGGGTTATTTCATCACTGCTGCTCTGGATTGGGTTCTGAGACAAGTCGTAACAGAGATATTCAGAGCCTCGGAAAGTGGCCACATTCTCCTCTCGAGCTGTAGAGGAAGAAAAACAGAAAGCAGTCAACAAAAGATCTCTAAACAAACAAGGTGAACATAGCCTGAGTGCACTGCCCCTGGCCTTGCACTGACACCAACATCAACTCCACATTCACTCCAGTTTCTATTTAAATACCAGAGAAGCTAGAGCAACAGGGACTAGAAAAAAACTATGCATACATCCAAGGATAGAAGACAAACAATATGGTGCAAGGGAGTCATCTGCCTATCCTTCATGTATTTTCAAAGAAAAACCCAAAGAGAATTTTCATTCAAAATGGTCAAGTGAGGAGAGGATTCCATTGCTTTTGTTTTGGTGTTGACTTTTACATGCTTGTAGAAGAGGTGGTTTAGAATGGGTAATTAACTTTTCTGACAAAGGACTCCATAGCTCTAGGTACCTCTTATTGACCAATAACGAAAAATAAATTACCCTGAAAGATTTGGCTCTGATTTCCTTCCACTAATATAAGCTATCCAGCTAACTTTGGTTTCTGTGGTAGAATCCTAAGCCAAAAGTAATGTTCCTGGGTAGGCAGGAGTAGGAGGCTGGACTTGAGGAGGTGATCAGCAGGTAAGGAAAGGGCAGCAGAATGAAATTGGGTAATCCATTTTGAGAAGACAGCAATATCACCCTCTGACTCAAGCAAAAGGAACTTTCACTCTTGGGGAAGGGTGTCTCCTTTCAGGATGGATCTGGTTGGACCTTTCTATGCCAAAATCTTCCCTGCAAAATAGGGGGGTACACATGGTCATGATGGCATTCTATGGAGGACATATTCTATTTCAAGACCATATTCTAGACACTGGAACCTTTTAATTCCCTGCCCAAAGAGCACAAAGGCTATTTGTGGAGGCCTCTTCTCTGGACCCAGATTTCTAAAGGCAAACCATGGTATCAGTGTCCATACCTCAAGGTGTGAGGACAGTCACAGGAGACTATGTGTCAGAGCTTGCTATGTGGGCCAGGGCATCCATATGGTATAGAACAAGGTAGGAAGAGAAAGGGAGGAGCCCACAGGCTGAGGACAGGGTTGGTCCTCCCTGAACCACTATTTCCTAGCCCAAAACCCCAAGGGACACTTATATTACTTCATGTCAGGGTTGCTCTAAAGCTATCAAAAAGCACTTTGTAAATGCAAAAACAATGGCAACAATAGAAATGTAGAAATGTAGTTTCTCTTTAAAGACTGGGGACTACTAAGTGAGGCTGAGAGAATTCCATTTGCCCTGCCAGAACTACATTCTAACCATATCGACCAAAGCCAAGTTTGCCTCAACTAGATTCCTATCAATCATCACAACCTTGCATAAAGTACTTAATTAAAATAAAATACTTATCTTCTCATCATGTGGTAAGAACGGTAGAAGTGTCACTTTTATTAACAGAGATAACCACCTGCTTCATACTGTCAAAATAATCATAGCATGAAGACACCATTAAAACATGAAGCTCAACTTCATACGCCAGAATGTTAAAGAAGAGATGAAGTTTCTTCTGTGCATTCTAGAAGATCTCAACAGTATGTGTCTATGTGCATATTTCTGTTTCATTCACATAAGCAAAGAAAAATGTCCACCTATGAATGCCTGGTGCATTTTATCAAAATAGCTCCACCCCAAGTCACAAAGCAGAAATTCAACATTGTCTGCAAGTTTGAATTAGATCTACCTAATCCTCTAGTACCCTGTCTATTATCATAACCTCTCCTCTCATTTCTGAAGAAATGGCTTTGTTAAAACATAACTAGACAATAAGATCTGGAGGTGACCCTGCAATAAGATCTGGAGGTGACCTTGGTCTAGAGTAGAAGATGACAAATCAAATGTAGTTGCAACAAGCTCTTGTCCTACAGACATGGATCTACACAAAGACAACCAATGTTCGTGTCCTTGGGAACACACATGCTACTAATGTGAATCTTCTATAACATCTAAGCTGTACCTGTGTGCCCAATGAACTGAGATAAATGAGCAAAGACAGCAGTGTCTATGAAGAGAAGCTTGGATTAATCATGAAGGACTCTTCAAGTGGGGAAAGTCTTGACAAAAAACAGCAAGGCACTAGGATATTATTTAATGTGCTAGGCAATATTTACAATTTTTCACATAATTAGAGGAAAGTCTGTCAAAATAATAAATTTTCAACCTATAAGGAATTTTAGGGATTGCCTGATTTAATACCTTTATTTTATTTAGGAAGAAATTGATGACTAGGAAGATGACCCATTGTGTGGTAATCAGGACCTGCAGCATCTCTGGACTTTCTACAAATATCAGTAACCCTTCCCTTTGACCATCACTCTCGATGTTCCACATGCTTCCAATGTACTTCTCCAAGACTATGAACAAATCCATACAGCTGTTGACTTACAAATCATCCCAAAGCTTGAATAAATTGAGCCAGAAATCAAACAAACTCCTCTCTCACTAGGAAAATCACATGGTCATCCAAAGAAATGTGCCATGTTCATAGCTTCCCCACCCCTTGTGGACTCTGTCTGCATTTATAGTGAAAGAACTTGTCTTGTGTGGAAAGCCACAGAAGAGAAAAACTGATATCAGGGTAAAAATGGAATATCACAGTAAATAAATAAGATATAAAGCCAGTGTGAGAAAGAAAATGCTATGCAAATTGCATGCATATTTATGCTAAACTCCATGCAAATACATAAAGGAAGATTTTATGTAGCCAAGTACCTTCACAATCATCTCAGGAAAGCCACTGCAACAGTTCACAGCCTTTGCAATCTCTCCATTCAATGATGCATTTGCTCAGTTTACCTCTTCTCTATGTCAAAGGGAGTAACCAAGAGCAGCATTGCTCCAACTGCTAGGAAATAGCCACCTAGCAGTTGTCCATTAACAAACAATAGATAACTGAAAGGTCCTGTGAATCATATTTTAGCTGAGCAAACTTCATTTTTAACTCATGGAATACTTTTCCCCTGTCTCTTATGGGAGGAGGCCTGGTAATGCATGATCCTGTCTTTCAAAGAGCAAATAAAAGGCTAGGAAGGAGAAAGAGGAAGCACCCTGAGGAAATCTTTTATACACTCTCACAACTGACTTTATTTTTCTCTTAAGATCCCAACCTATCTTAATTTCCTCCCAGAAGCTGAGACTCAAGCACTTTCTTATCACCTTGAAAACCATACTAGGCTGACAGTTCACATAACCAAAGGGGGAAAACCAGGTGGTGACAAACACACATTTCTGGACCCACTCAATTTTCTGAACACTCCATTAGAAAAAAAGTGCCCCAGATTTGTTTTTTATACATGGTTTTTATACTGAGAAGAAGGTTAAAGAGACAATGCAGTCACCTTGCATGTATTAAAGCTAAATAGGTGGGGAAAATGAATGCAGGGGATTATGTAACAGTACACAACAGCTTAGCATAAAGCTACAGCTTGGCAAGAGAGAAGGCACCAACATAGCTAATGGACTGTTTAGATCCATTTAAATTATATCACCCCAAAGTTTACAATCAATTGGATGAGTGTTAAAATAAAAATGCTATTCTCACGGCATGAAAATCAGAGCTCAACTCTGTATGACAACAAATCATTTACCCATTATTTGTAAATGTCCAACTGATTAAACACTGGATGCAATCTAGATATGTGAAACTTGAGATTTCAAATCAGTTTATATAAGATATATAAAGAACTGGTCTTCCAAATGGCTTGCTAATCAAAGTACTGATATATACAGAGCATTAAGAAGCATTTACTCAATTATTTTCTCTACTGTTCCCAAAAAACAGCCAACTAGTGATTTATATAATAATAAAAATATCTCTGAAAAATTCCAAAGTAGATTAGAACATTCTGTGTAATATTTTCTCAAGATGCATTGTAAGAAGGGTGGGCTGTGATTCTGATGGCTTGGTGTCTTAAGAACCCAAACTACGCTCTCAGATCAAGAAATTTGGACTTTGTTTTGAAGCTCATGAGGAATTATTGCATCATTTTACTGAGAGGAATGGAAGAGTCTGATTTGTATTTTTTTTATTATTCATATGTGCATACAAGGCTTGGGTCATTTCTCCCCCCTGCCCCCACCCCCTCCCTTACCACCCAATCTGCCCCCTCCCTCTCCCCCCTACCCTCTCAATACCCAGCAGAATGATTTGTATTTTTAAAAGATTATAGTCTTTTAAAACCACATTTGAACTCCTTTTCCAAAGGCTTCCTGGAATTGGTTCAGCCTGGAAGTCAATATAATTCCTAGAGTGAGGTTTGCATTTCACTGACAGGAATAGAAGCAAAAGGTTCCTGGCAGAAACAGTCTATCGAACAGAGAGGTAGAGCTGCTGGTAAGCCACAAACTTTGGGAAATAGCTGAAGTCTGGCCCCTTTAAAGCCATGTAACAAGGGAAACCAAAGACCAGAGGGAAAAATTGAAGGAAAAGGACACAGCATTAGAGAAGAAAAAGTTCAAAATAAGAACATGTCAGGAAGGGGAAAAGAAGGATTCTAGGGCCATTTGCATACAAACATTCACAGCTTTCTAAATGTGTCATATATTTACAAATATTTTCTTAATCATTGTTTGCATTCTAAGATCAGTGGAAGCACATGGAGTTTGGATAGGTAATCCAAGTCACTATGGTGCACCAGTTTCAAATCCCATAGTACCCTGATTCTCATTGCATTATTTTTGCTATTCCACTACACCCCAAATTTACCAGGTACTCAAATTCTTAGAACAGGTACATAGCACCCTCTCTGAGGTTCTGCAGCTGCACAAAATACAAACTGATAAAAGATGAAAACAGTGACAATGTCAGGTAAGGTCCACCCAGGGAGCAGGGAAGTAAGGGATTAAGCAAAGATTTTTCTCCATATTCTCTCCTACCAGGTTAGAAAAAGTCAGACATTTGGAAGATCCTGTTAAAATGCAACATTGGAGATTCCAAGATGGCGGCTAGAGGGAGGAAGCAGAAAGCGTGCCTCCTAAAGTAAAATCTTGGAGAGATGCTGGAGATACAC